CAAGACATACAAACCTGTTCCGAAAGGACAGCAATGGCCAATCAACAAACTCAACAGAATGAACAGTTCACATATATTGATACATTTGATTATATACATGTGCATACATTCATGTCTTGCATTGAATCCTGTCGGCCACCAAATCTGTGAAAATGTTTTGAACAGGTGTATGTTTCGTTCAGATGGACCCTGACCCGAAGCTCTTGGAAAACTCCCTGCCGAAACACCAGGACCGCAGTTGTCACATTCTGCTACAACTGAGCTCTGGCCACAGCGAAAAAAATCAATGGCAGGATCTATCAGGATCTGCTTAGAAAAACAAGCTGTTCAACCTCTCACAATGCTACCCTGATCCTAAGTCACCTTCCCAGTGTCTGTCCTGCTTGTCCTCAATCCTACCTTCTGACAGGTCCTGCTAAAAAGTTTATTATTTGGGTTCCAAGACCTTTGGCTGACACTCTAGCTTTCCTATAAATATATATATATACATATGTATTCTCACCCTGAGCGGTGACAATGCACTCTGCCAAACTCAGGGTACAGGCTTCTCGGCACCTTTTTAGAGGATCCGAAAACATAATCAAGTTCTTTCAAGCCACACAACTCCTGCTAGATGACGGGTTCAACTTGAGGAATATACAACGCAAAGGACCTGGTGGATATGTAAATCCATCATAGCACCCCTGCACTGCACCCCTCAGAATAGCCTCGATGGGCCTTTGGCCCGGACCGTGGAATGCACCCCGTTCATGCGGTTTCGGAAACTGGATGATTTCACATAGTCATAGACGTTTTTTCCTTTACTGTCTTTGCTGGTGGGATCGGCTCCGTATTGAAGAAGCAGAAGGATCATCTCTGAGTTCTGGTCCTTCGCTGCCTGGTGCAAGGGTTGCTGGTGCGAATGGAGCAGGCCGAGGCAAGCAGTCTTCTGGTGTCCTGCATTCACATCAGTTTGGTCGAAGTGGTGCTTCTTCAAAAAACAACGGATCTTGTTCCTTTGTTCCTCCTGTTGTTGGCTTCTCAAATGCGCCTGAGACTTCTCAAATGCGCCTTGTTTTTGCAGCTGCATTCTCTTGTAGGTTTGTGCTACCACAATATCACCTTTCAAAAGGCTTACCGGCTGGCCAGAGATGAGCTTGCAGCGGCCCCCGACATACTCAAAACTCTCAGGCGTAATGAGCATGCAGCGGCCCCCGGAGAAAAAGCTCTCTCGGAGAGACGAGACCACGAGAGACGATTGCAATTCTCGACTTGGTCCGAGTCTGCGGTAAACGAAGGATTCAACAGCCTAGAAACCTTGACTTCCACAATCAACTATCCAATCCTTTGGGCTGTGTCGGGATGTGGATGTCAAGCACTTTCAACACGTTCAATGGCACTCTTTGACGGCCGCTGTTCTCCACATCTAGTCTCTACATGAATGCTGCATCAATCTCAAATTACTTTCCGGGTGAGGCCAAGATGCCTGGGCAGAGATTCGATAGCCATCACCAAAGGGCGTCCGAAGCCATGAGTGTTTGGCCTGATGAGCTTTCTGTGTCAAACACCGAAGGTGCAGGTGACATGTGGAGGGGAGTCATTTTGGCATGAGCGGAAGCGCCCAGGAGGAAGTCACAAACACTTGATCCTAGCACCGGATCTCTGACAAAATACACCAAGAAAGGCACAAATTGGGGGGCATGCACCTCTCCTGGCCTCCATCTTGACATTGCATCATTGGGACGACAAGCGCGCACGCACGCACACGCACACGCACAAGAGCTAGTTGTTGGAGGTGATTCTGTGGCATGGCTTCATTGATCAGGGTGGCAGCTTGTGTTGATGAATAGAGCTTTGGAAACCGTGCCTTCTTGAAATCCCCCGTTATGCCCGCCGAGGAATGCTTCATATGATGCCTTTGATCTGACCCTGGTCTCTGTCCCTGTGCAAAGCAAAAAGCGAGCAGGCTCATTTATGCCTAGGGTCACAGATTGCCCCCGTGGTTTGTGTCCAAAAAGCATGTTTGCAAGAAGCAAAAGCTAATAGAGCTTGCATGAGTTTGCTTCATGTTATTCGCTTGCCCATATGCACTGCTGGTGTAATTTGAGGCTTTACAGCTGAGGATGCCAAGATGGTCTTCGGGCCGTGTTCATGGTTTGCCACTCGAGATCTTCAAACGAATCGGCAAAATGGGAGCAGAAATCAGCACCTCAAAGCTGGGACATGCAAAAGAAGGAGAAAACAAGCATCTCTAAGAACCTCGTTCACCTGTGGACTGCCACAGTCGTTCACCTGTTGCGCTTTTACACACATGATCCGGTCCTGCGACCTGCCTTGGATCAGGCAACATCGGGTGAAACGACGTGACATCGGTCACACACGGGTCACACACCGTCTTGGACGTTCACGAAATCACGAGTCTTAGAGTTTGACAGGAGTCTGAGAAGAGTCTTGTGTCGAGATCTTCGAGTTCTTAGAGTCGGACAGCTTCTCAGGTCAAACGCATCGAGAAAAGCTAAAGCTCCGTTCGTAGCGATGCCAGGAGCCCCTAGCTAGTAGCTTCTTGTTTCTAGTAATAAAACAAAGAATGAGAATTTGCTCTCTTTGCACCGGACTCCACCGACCGGTTGGTGTTCAGACTCACTAACTCACTCAGACTCACGCCTCACGTTCGGACAAAGGCCGAGGACGCGTTGCTTGAGTTCGTATGGTAGAGTCAGGTAGTCATGTAGAATGTGGACGAATCAAGCACCCCACCCCAGTTGGATTGAACAGACTCTTCATACGGGGCGGGGCTTTATGTAACAGATTTAGTTTTCCAAATGAGATCTACATTGAGCAGTAAGAGGTCACAGTTTGAAGAGTGTGTTCAAGGATGAAGTGATGATGAAGTGGTTTTTGCTTTGCACCGGCTGCACCTGGCTGTTTATCATGGCTATCAGTGCTGATTTGAATCTGTGCGCTGGGCACCTCATGTTGCTCTTCCTGTTGATGGCAGTTGCAGTCTTCAAGAAGTGCTTTGTACAAGGTCGTCATATCCAAGGAAAACATCTGGACGCTGATGTTGCCCGCATTCCAGACTGTCACAAGTACATTTATGCGAGAACAACAGGCAAGAGCACTGTCAAGAATGAGTAACAAGTGATGCAGCAGGGAAATGGTTGCTATCCCACAACGCTGCACTCTACACACATTCTGCACACATGTTCTCTGCATGAAGCGCATCAAAACCACTTGTGTTGCAAAAGTCCGTTCCCACTTGTTGTGCTCTCTCTGGCAAGTTCACGTGCTTACATATCAAAAACGGTGACATGACTGGTACAAACATCACCCCGCAACACCCTCCCAAACAAAAAGAACGAATGCCATCATGTCTGTTTGAGATGCGAACAAAAAAGAAGGAGCCCAAAAAACAATAGGGCGAAGCTCCTGGACTCCCTCCTGTTTCCTTCAAGTCGTCTGGCAGCTGTCCGAGCGTCCGTTTAAGTCACCACCATCTGCGCAGGTTGTCCAGGAAGTGCCTCAAACAAGCACATGAAAGCATGCAGCATGCCGAATCCTCAATCAAGTCGAGACTTTGGACTGACAAGTGACAGCTACAAATCGCAACTGAGCAGCAACTGAACACAGCATGTTTTAGGGGCACATGCAACCCAGAAATCCCTACTTGTACCGTCTAAAATCTTTGGAAGGCACATGTTTGCAGTGTGAAAACCGAAAAAGAATCGAATACTTGGTCTGACCAGTGTCCTCTCCTAGTGCTTCACCCTCCATTCTCCATCTCCTCAGCTTTTCGCCGCAGGTGATTTGCTCATGCCCATGGCCTCGAGTCCAGCCCATCCAGTGACAAGCGGACAACATGTCCGGTGGTTAGAAGTACCATGAAGTCACAAAAAGCGGATCCATCTCTCCAGCCGTGGAGATGCGTCCGCTTTGACCTCCGTGTCCCACCTCCAAGTTGGGCGGCTGCCAGCCTTTGGGCACCTCAGCTGTTTCACAGCGCGGATTCTGGTGTTTACACCGCCGGTTTTTTTTTTTCCGCGAAACCGAAGGTGTGAGAAATCGTGCCGGGTCAAGTGCAGCAACGAGCCGGTCGTGGCATCTAACCGTCCGATGGAGGCCAAGCTACGAAAATGCCGAGGCCAAGTTCACTGGCAGTGTACGAGAAAACGTGTTCTGTCACGCCATGGTTTTGGGTTGTGGGTTGTAGATGGTTGTAGGTCCATTCACTTGGATCCATCGTATCTCAGGAATCCTCCAGCTTTTGCTGGTCATATCCACTCCCGACTCTCCCTTCACCACTGAGTCTCACCGTGGTTCTGATCTTTCCATTTCAGCCAAGGCACCATGACCGGCACATGCTCGACTCGCTCGGTTTCTTGCACTTGAGTCACTGGTACCTGAAGATTTTGCGTCCGAAACACGCAAAACCAAATTGCTGGAACCGGGATGATCTGCCCTCCACTGATCTGTCCTCCATCGTCCCTCCACTGCTCTGTCCTTCGCTCAATCAGTCGGGGTCTCTGTCCGTGCGTCACAGAGACTCTGCGCTCAGCATTTTCACATGTCGGACTTCAAATCAGTGTCTGGAATTGGGAGAAGTGCAAATGGATTGTGGTGCAGCCACAAGTCAGACCGAGTTCGTGAAGACGCTCAAAGCATTTGATAGGGCTTTGCCTTTTACATCACTCCCTCAGCACAGGTGCTGCGAAACATCATTCGCCACTGGGAAAGCAAACCGAGAAATGGCAAGGTGGCCAGGCACCCTAACTAAAAAATGATTGATTTCACCATGAGTCCACTCGGTGAAATGAAAAATGCAGATTTGCTTGTCAGGTTTTCATGACATGAGTCCAATAGACGCCCCAAAACCCCGTGTTCCCTTCTTGTTTCCTTTCTAGGAGCGATCGGACGCTACGTTCGGGGCTCCTGGCCTTACTACTAGGAGCAAGAAGCTACTAGTAAGAAAGGGCGTCGCTACTAGGAGCAAGGACGCTACTAGGAGCTCGTGGGGGGGGGGGGCCACCTTTTTCGATCGCGTCTTTGAACCGCCGCCCAGGGCAGCGGGTGCGAACCCGGCGACACCGCTGCCCACTTCGTCGGCGTCGTATGTTGTCGTTGATCGTCGACGTGACGTGCCCGGGCGTGACGGCTTGTGGGATTTCTTTATTAAGGGTGGGTGGGTGCAATTAAGGTCACAGGAAAACCTGGCTACAGCACTGTGAGCAGAAACTGGACATCAATAAATCGTTTTCTCCACCAGAATGCAGCATGCCGTCAATGGGCACTAAGCCCAAGCCACCAAGACCACATCAAGCACTGACTCGGGTGTGCTGCTGTACAAGCTTAATCCACACTTGACCCGGTCCCCATTGGAAAGCATTTCTTACACAGCACCGCTTGCATGGGCACATCTTTGCCCATGCCAGAGCAATTGTGCCTTTTGTGAACAATCTTGGAACTTGAATTAACATAAATAACCCTTGCAGGGTCAGCTGCTTTCAACTTGCCCTTTCCCTGATGGACAGGGTTTGAAGTCAAACTGCTTTTCGGACTGCCTTCATCACTGCTCAAGGGTTTGGAACTCAGGGAAGACCTGACGCAAGTAGCTGTAGAAGCACCAATGAGCACACCAGCAAGCAGCAGCATGCAGCAAAATGCCACAAAATCAAGCTCCATGCCATGAAGCAGCCAGGAAGCTCTGCAGTCGGGTTTGTTTGCTGCTATCCTTGACTATTGCCTAAGATACTACTAAGTCTCACTGATTGAGTGAATGCTGCTGCAATCCAGTGCACAAATCACACACTCAGACAAAGACGCACTCACAAAGACAAATGAAACAGACCTAGCTCAAAACACAGATCACATATAGCCATATAGCCACATAGCCAACAGTGAACAGTGAACAGTCCAGTCCAGAATCCGCTACTCCGCCGTTCAGCAGTCTTTTCCCCCTACACACTACGTCAGAGCATTCAAACCTCAAGTGCTCTGTGAGTGCCTGTCCTTCAGCTGTGCTGCAGACATGGAAGGTAATCAAAACAAAAATAAAACCTGCTGCAAAGTGAATGTTTCCAAATAGGTTCACTGAGAGGTTGCAGGACTACCGTAGTACCAGCTACCTTCCCTGCACTGCCTTCCCCAGACACCATTTGCTACGAATTGTGCATCAGGAACTTGGTATGTTCAATCTAATCTAACCTCAACCTTGTACCTAAAAGCCTCGGGATTGGGTCAGGTGGAGTGGTGTCAGTCTGGCTCAGCTTTCTTTGGGCCTCCAATTCGAAGGTTTAATAACCAACGGAAACAAAACAAAACCAAACCACACATAAATTATGATATAGTGTCATACAAAGATGTTTCAAGAACTCCCGGGAGACCAAGGGCCAGACAATTGGCTACCACAACACCAGTGGCCTAGCTCTAGCTTGAAGGTTTTCAAGCTTCACTGGATATCACCTGGCTGTGCATCGCTAGGCAGGCTGGCAGTGGCAGCCTTGGTGTCCACCTTCTGGAGAAATGCGGTGATGCATTCCAACTGCGCCTTGCTGCTTTTCCTCGCGTGCCCTTTGCCCTTCCCGGTTGAAGGTGCTGGTCGCTCCAGTTTGTTTGGAGTCTCTGGAATTGCAGCACTTGCTGGATGAGTATTGCTCCTAGCCTTAGAAGACCTTGCCTGGGGCGTCTTCTCAGCAACCCGCTTCGCGGAGGACTTGGCTTGAGCTTTTGCTTTGGACTTTGCTCGGGCTGGTGCTTTGGGAGGCTGCTTCTGTTCATATAGCTCCATCAACTGCTCCAAAAGCATGTTGGTGGTGATCTTGTAGGCTGATATTGGGTGGACATCTTCTTTGTCCGCAATATCATCCTCCTGGGGGCTGTCTGGTGGTGATTGGAAGTCAAACTCGGCCCTAATGGTCTCCTCTGCAACTTCAAGCATTCGGTCAAGATCGTCGGTACTCTCAGTCAGCCTTTGAGTCTGACCTCTACCTTTGACTAGACCAGCACTCTTCAAGTCCTGGTTGAACCGAGCAAGCAGCTGTTGCATGTATTCGTCTTTTCTCGTCTGAACTTCTGCAAGAGATTTCAGAGCCTCAGCCTCAGCCTCAGCTCTTGATCTCTTGGTCTCCCTTGATTCACCCGATTCACCCTTGCCATCTGCATCATCTCCGATCAGTGGCTTTTGTCTTTTTTGGTTTGTCTTATCCGGGTCATCAACCTTATCCTTGTTCTTCTCTTTCTTCTCTTTCTTCTCTTTTTTCTCTTTCTTCTCTTGCTTGTCATGCTTGTCATGCTTGTGTTTCTTCTCTTTCTTGTCATTGTCATGTTTCTCCTTGTGTTTCTTATCTTTCTTGTCTTCATTCTCCTTGGCGGCCTCTTCATTCTCCTTGGCGGCCTCTTCATTCTCCTTGGCGGCCTGGGCAGCTGGTGGATGGGCTTTTGGCTCAGCTGGCATGCTTGGCTCAGCGGGAGCGGGAGGGGCAACCGCTGGCGCAGGCATGGCTGATGATGTTGCCTCAGCTGCTGCTTCAGCTTCATCTATCTAGGTGGCTGCAGTTTCCAAAGGCTGCATTGGCTTGGCAGGAGGGGCATTTGGCGCAGGCATGGCTGCTGCTGCCGGGGCTGCATCCTCTACCTGGGCGGGTGCAGCCTGCATGGGTACTGCCTGGGCTGCTTCATGTACCTGGGTGGGTGCAGCTTCCGAAGGCTGCATGGGTACTGCCTGGGCTGCTTCCGAAGGCTGCATGGGCACACTTGGCTTGACAGGAGGGGCATCTGGTGGTGCAGGCGTGGCTGCTGCTGCCTGGGCTGCTTCAGCTGACCGGGTATCGGCTGGTACTTGGGGCAAGCCTTCCTTCTTCTCTGGCTCCGGAGGGTGCTCCTGTTCTTGTTCTTCTTCTTGCATCAATTTCTGGAGGGCCTCCTCAATGGTTTCCCTTGACCAACCATATTTGCTGATCATGCTCCTGCCGTATTCCATCATGAACTTGTTCGTGGGGTTCCTTAAGCAGTGAGCAGTAAATTAACTCACACATAAAGCCTCCTTGTTTGTTTCAAACCAGGAATGGGTGACAAAGCAAAATTTCAACAATGCCCAAACAATACAAGGGTCGCATTTGCCTTGTAGGTCAGCTTGTCATAAGCATCTTGGCGGTTCACATGGACCAGGTGCGTCGGGGCTCTAATGACCATGAAATGCGAATTCAATATCTTCTCGATTGTAAGCAGTCCAGGCGGTAGGATGACAACATCTCCTGGAAGTGTGCACACGGTCCTCAACGATGGGAGCTTCTCCAAAATTGCTACATCTTCGGGAGTGATCTCGGCAAAGCCACTGAGCACGTCCTGAAGAGAGTAAAAGATAAGTATAGTCAGTCATAGTCACAATCAATCAATCACAGTTTGACCTTTCTGACTTTAGAGCTAAACCACATCTTTCTCTGAACTAACTTCCCCAGTTCCAAACAGTTCCAGTTCCAGTCTCTGTCCTGAAGGTCACCTCCAAACAGTTCAATAGCTTCTGATGCGCAAACAGTGGCCATAATGCGACTCCCCTCTGCCTGATATTGAACATAGCCAACACCACCAACAGGGACATTGTTGGTGACAGCACCTTGTTTGAAAGAGCACAAGTAAGCCGAGGAGAACTTTTCATACAGCATTTCATGCTGATCCGGCACACCCTTCATCTCTTCGTTTGTCTTCAGCCACTTGAGAAAGGTTTCTGGGTCTGCGATGCTTGCTGGACATGGTATTACTCCAGTCTCTCCCTCCGCCACCATGGTGTTCTGCTGGTCAATGTAGTCCTGGAAGATGAACTCCAAGCCAAGTTCGCGAGCAAAGTTACCCTGGAGCGGTTTCACTGCTGTGAGCCTGATCTTGTCGTCTTCGAAAACCTTGCAGGCCTGACAACTCACCAGAAAGCTTGGCTTTATATAGACCGGCCTAAACCAGTTAATTAGTAAGTTAGCTAAGTTAGCTAGCTTAGCTGCTTGGTTGGTTTATGTTTACATCCACGCCTCTGCAGTGAACTTCCGGTTTTGCTGAGCAATTTGCTGGCAGTGCTTGTTCATGATCGAGGATTCCATTTCATGAGCCTCCACGCAAACATATTAATCTGGCTTGGAACAATCTGTAATGCACTGCACTGCCCTGTGTGTGTTTAGTCTTGTATGCGCACTAGTTGCTATGCAACAGGTGTCTGACAGACAGAGTCTACTATGCGCCTCAAAGACCTTGTGAACAGGACTCCGTCTCATGCGCATAACCACTGGGTGCTGTGGATGCATCATCACTGAGTTGATTGCCAGGTCCTGGGCAAGTGAACAGTTGCAACAGACCTGTCTTGGACAGCAAGAGCCTGGTGTTTGGTCCAAGTGCTGACAAAAATCGAAGTCAGATCCCTCAAAGATTTGCATCTGGTAGTCATCTCCAAATTTTCCCTTGACAATAGCTGGGTCATCCGGGTTGAACTGACCTGCTGCAATGGTAGCTGTTCTACGTTTCTTTCTCCTCTTGTTAGGATCCTTGGGATCTTTGTCCTGGTCTTCCTCGGCCGCGGCCCCCTTGTCTTGAGCCTCCTGAAGAGCCCTAATGCGTTTCTGGCGTTCCTTTTCTTCCTTATCTTTTTCTTTCTGCTGAAGTTTCTCTTGACGCTTCGTTTCACGATCGATTTCCTTCTCCTCTGCTGCTCTAGCTTTTGCCAGTGCTTTCTTTTGAGATCTCCAGTCATTTGAACTCTGGACAACTGCTTTTGCCAAGGCATCAAGACGTGACATGGCTGTGTTGTGCTCTTCGAAAGTAGCTTCCACTGACTCAACAGTGGGAAGTAGAAGTGCCATATCCCTGGTACTGAACAAGTGCCCCTGACACTGGACTTCACCAACTTGCAATTCCAGCCCGCCAAAATAGGGATCTTTTGACATAAGCTGGAAAAGCTCATCCTCTGCCTGTTGGATATCATTTGAGTCAACAGAAGCCACACGGGCCAGCTTGACCTAAGCAGCCGCGGGCCGCAGCTTAGCTCAGCCAAGTACTAGTACCAAAATCAAAATAAACTGGGGCTTACACCATTGCAACTCGATCTTCCAGAGTGAGAAGGATAGGGTCTGTCATCTGCTGATCTGGGCCAAGATCAAGTTTGGCCTGGGGCGCAGACAACATCATACACATAAAGCCAAAACATCACACTTGCAAAGCCACAGCCACATGTTAATGTCATTAATGTTATGTCATTTCCTAATTTATGAAATTTCCTTTTCATTTCCTTTCCTTAAAGCCTAAAGCATACATACTGAGTCACCTCGTCCAATGTAGCTGCACCAACCGTCTCTGCTTTTTCCAAATCAATCACCAATCTTGAGTAAGCTCGGTAGGAAGACTTGCGCAAATTGGTGGCACGTGTCAAGGAGCTTTGCTGGGTCTTTCTGGGTGGCTTCGGTTTTGGTTGAGGAATTGTTGAACTGTTGGCATTGGCACTGGCACTTGTACCTGCGCCTGTGCCTCCACTGCGAACACAAGCAAATCCTGCAAGAATTTTAACATCGCAAACATTCAAAGTGGATCCGACATCAACATTGTTGAAGCAAAAAGATAGGATTGCGTCAGTTGGTTCCTCCTTCATCCTCCAGCAGCTGGGGCAAAAGGCCAGCAGCCTTCTGCTCCAGTGAATGTGCCTGCTGCTCGTTGACTGTCTTGTGCTGCTCCACTGACTTCGTCAAGTTCACAGATCTGTCCTGCAGTTGCAACCGTCTTTCTGACATGAAAGAGTTGGGCTTGTTGCTCCTTGTAAACGCTCTCTTTCTTCTTGCGCACTGTAGGGATATAGAGCACCCAAACCTAAGGAGAAACAAACAAACAACTGGCTCAAGTCTTCATCATGACAAGGTGAGTGAATTTGCGGTTAGTGCTTTCCAGGCACCAGCTCATCTGTTTTTTTGCCCTTGCTGTTCAGCTTGTAGTCTTGAAACCGATCTATAGACCTGTTGGCAAAGTCCTCCTTCCACTTGGCCCTTGCACCCTCTTCAGTCAAGCCTAGGAAGATCTAAACAAAGGCAGGATGAAAGCAAGCCATTCAAGAGTGAAAGAAGATTGCCCACAGGTTTTGGTTGATCAACCAAGAAGCGTTGGTAAGCAGGAGCTTCATGCTTATAGTAGTGAACATAATCCTCCTGACACATGGCCTTGCAAATGAAATCCTCTGTGTTCCGCTGACCTGTTGCCTGGACAGTGGTAATCGAGGCCCAATCAAATTTTTGGGCAGAACTTTTACGACCAGGCTTGTCAGATTGCCTCAGCTTCCGCTTCAGCAAACTGGAAGCTACAGTGACCGGCTGCAGTGTGTTGACAACCTTTGATGTAATGTTTTCAACACACGCCAGTTGCAAGGAGAGCTACGATTCACAGAACTTGCAAAATAGTGCCAAGAATTGCCTTGGGTTCACCTCTTGCATGTGCTTAATGTCTTCCTGTTTTCCTGCACGGGAAGCCTGGTGAAGGAAATCATTGAGTTTCTTGTCATGCTTCCCGCAGAATTGAATCAGCCTCAGAATGCAAAGGAAGAATGTCAACACGGTTATGAATAAGTTTGTTTTTGTATGTGCACTGACATACTGACTAAGTCATGAACCTCCCTTCCTTGGTCATCACTGGCAATGAACAAACACCGCATCCAGAAAGGGGATAATCAGCTGAAGGAGTCGGTTGGATGTCACTCATGTCTAGCTTCACCTCCTTTCTGCTTCCACCTTCTCCACCATCGCAACAACCCGACATGTAGCACAAAGCTCAAAAGGCAACAAACTCAGCCAGATTGCAGTCTCTCTCTCTCAAGCCAAAATTGGCTATTATAGATCAGCAGCCATCAAGAGAGAGCTGAGAATACCCACACAAAGTATTTCGGAATGCACAGAACAATATAGAACACAAGTTGCATGCACTGGTTTTGACTAAGCCTGATGCAAAGCAATCAGTCTGATTCCTAAGTGGCTGAAGACTCAGACAAAACAAGGCTGCTCAGAATGATGGAGTGCACGGTTCCCAGCACTGCAGTGTGCATCGCCTGGGCACTGCAGTGTGCATAAGTTACAGCCCTCTCACTTTGTTGAAGCAGAAAGGAAAAAATTGCTTGTGTCCCTGAGTCCCTGTTTATGAACCCAAGAAACATTTCCAGCCAACTTGCGGCACTGCGGATCACTTGGATATGTGTGAACATGAGGATGAGAAGCAAAGGATGATACCAAAGGCCGGAACACCGGCGCTCCCATCGCAACCAAATGTTCCTGGAAAAACAACAGTTGTCAACATAATTTCATGCGTGCAAGCTCAGTTCATGGTCCTGGCCCAATAGCCATCGCTCTTCTTGTGCATCTTGTGCATGCCCATTGTTCTGACGCAACGCCCAGATAAACGAATGGGTCAGTAGTGTTGGCAAGTAAACTGTGGCACTGGGTCTCTGGAGCGGGTTCTGGGTAAGGTTCAGCATCATGCTCCTCGCACCTTGTCAGACAAGTTTAGTCTGCCAATGTCTGTCATCAAACTGATGTCATGAGATTTGATACTGAGGGCAGAACCCTTGGTGAAGCATTTTTTGACTTTGGCAAGCTCTCGGTAGGATTGTAGCCAGCAGGGTTTGGCTCCTCCAAAGGCCAAGTGCTAATTCACAGGCATCAACCTATTCCCAGCACTAGGTCTGTCAGTAGGTCATTGAACTTAGACTTTGTGCATCTCTTCAATTTATGCGCCACTGCAAGCCGTTCTTTCTCAACTGCTTCCTGGGCACCAAAGGACAGGTGGTAGCAGCTGGTAGCAGTTGCAGCAACAACAACACCACATGGACATGGACAGTTTGTTAGTTTGTTCATCAAGCGCAACCATTGTTCCACAGGGGCACACATGAAGCAATCACTGGACAATTCCACTGATCTCATCAGCTCCTGGACCTTGCCCGCGCCTTGCCCGTCAAGATCACAGGACTGGGTATTCGTGAGGATTGAGATCAACCTGACCAAAGACAGAATGACTATGGGGCAGCACAGAACCAAAGCAAGCGTGGGACAGCACTAAACTAAAACTTGCTTCCTGCCTTGGCCGATGGGCTGGCCACCCAAATTGAGTTGGTGTCAATAGCAAGTTTTCCTTGTTGTTCTTGGAGGGATCCAGGAACTTGTGCAATTTGAACTTGGGTGATAAGTACCTTTCAAATGCCCATTGACCAAAGTGGGCGGTGCACTCGTGGATCACAATGTCCTGAGTGTACACAGATCTGTCTGAGAGTAGTCTGAGACTGAGACTGACATTTTTGCACAGTGAGCCAGTACCAACTCCAGATCTTAAACAATGAAAGCTTCAGGATCGCAAATTTTGATCTGTGCCAGAAAGATTGCCAAAAACCTGCTTGAGTGTCCAAGCAGTGCTGCTTTGTTTCCTTGGGACAGACTGTTGTGACTGGTGACTGGTGACTTTGTTTCTGTACAACAACAATGAATTTTCAGCACAGAGTCCCATCAATGAGACATCCACACAAATCGAGCCCCCAATATGCATGGTCAAAGTCCGTTTTGTCTTCTGCAAGCTCTCAGTTTTCCAACCTTCCTCACATTGATCAAAATCCATTGAGGATTCAGCATCCGCTGCCAACTTGTACCCGTATGGAGTAAGACAGTCCTGTGTCAAACAAGTAGGACATTGATTGGGAACAGTAACCTGAAGCCTGGAATTGGGAGTGCAAAGTACAGCTCACCACCCCTGGCCCTGGCCTTGCCGCATTTTGTACATGGTGCCTGTACTAGAAAGCTGTCAGGATCTTTCAACACATCCATGTAGTTGTCAAGCAGCTGCTGTCCAAAATCTGATCTAGCATCAGCGGCTTCAGCTGAATCTGGTTCTACTCCTGCATCGCCTAGAAGAAAGTTTGGTCATACAAAGCCATAAAGAAAGCACAAGGACAAGAACAAGAGAGAGGGAGAGAGAGAGAAACAAAGAAAACAGCTAGGGCTGCCATGGTTCGTATGTAAGTTTTGTATGCCTCCTGTGTTGTATGGAACAGTTCAGTCATCTGGTCCCTGGCATCTTGTGTGATGTGGAGGTCCAAATCCTTCAGCACATGCTGAGGCACATAGTCCTGGCTGGCAGAGCTAGATCTAGCAAACAAACCTAAGGCAAAGAAAAGAAAAGCCAGTGCCAAAACTGTTTCATTCTGGAACCCCATACTTCCCGGCCTGATGCAAAGACTGTATGAATGATTGAGCAACCGAATTGCATTCACATGCAGTTTTGGTAACCACTATGGAATCACTCATGGGAAGATCACAAGCAGCAGCCATTGCACGAAGTTGCTGCTTTAGTGAAATGGACCCTGCACATGTACCGGCAAAGCTCTCATGAACTTCGACATTGCAAGTCGAGACAAGCTTCAAGAAGTTGGACTTGCTTTCTGGATCTTGCATCAGGACACTGGTATTCCACCGCGGCCAATCAAAAGCATCTTGCAGAGTAAGCGGACCTTTCTTCTCTGCTGGACAACTACTCCAGCTGGTGCTAGAACTGTCACTAGAACTCGAACTGGAAGACTCAGCTTCCCTCATGGTCCCATCCTCTGAGCATTTGTCAGAATCAGACATTTGGCAGTTTTCCCGCGCTAGCTGTCCTGACTACTTTATTCCCCTGAGCCCCAGATATTCCAGACTCACAACTCTCCAACTGCTCCCCAAATGTCCCCAAAATCCTCAAAAGCTTACTTACACCCTCAAGAGCTTAATTGCACCCTCAAGAGCTTAATTGCAGGGGGGTGGGTGTAATTAAGCTTTTGGATGATTTTTTAGCGGGTAGGTTTCTGGGTGCAAACAATGTTTTATCCTGGCATGCACTATACACACCAGTTCAGATGAATGCAAATCATTGTTTGCACCCAGAAACCTACCCGCTAAAACATCATCCAAAAGCTTAATCACACCCACCCCCCTGCAATTAAGCTCTTGAGGGTGCAATTAAGCTCTCGAGGGTGCCATTAAGCTTGTGGAGGGTGTACTTAAGCTTTTGCGGGTGTGTTTGCCTGCATGTAAAGCTTGGTGTGCTTCATCAAGTGTCAATGCGACTCTTTTGTTCCCCCAGAGCACTTCATCTGAATTTTGACCTCACTAATTTGCTGATCTCCTGATCAAGCCTAGGTATTGTCAGGTTCGAGGAATTCTGAGAGCGTAATCAGTGCAATCAACAAAACACTCATCTTCAACCCAGAAGCTCGTCTGATGTTCTTGTAGGATTTCGAGGCGGGTTCTTGGTTGGCAACACTTGTTCTCAACAAAAGACATTAGCAGTGGCATTGCCTAACAAAAGACATTAGCAGTGGCATTGCCAAGAATCCCAGTAAACATGACTCAAACGTAGCTGCTCAGGAGTCTCATTCTCACCAGGTTGCATTTGAAGTCCTACCATGGATTCCATGGATCAGGATCATGATCCGGTCATGGTCACTGTATGAAAAATGAAAACAAAGCAAAGAAACAGAACCAGTCCTCTCAACACCCATTCGCGTAGACGAACCAAAACAACAGATTCAGTAGGTTGGTTGATGCAAATAGATTTGGCACATTGGTGAACCTTCCCCTTGTCATCCCTGTAGCTGCGCAAAGGACAGTGCGCAACATACGCAGGTACCTGAGTCCATATTGTGTGAAGAAAAAGTCTGAGAGCAAGACAACCACTAGTGTCACACTAGACTACACACACACAGATGCTGCCCAAATTTTGGCCTTACTTACATCAAGTTACCTGAAAATTGCATCTCTTAATCAATACGAACTGGCCATCCCCAAGAAGCACGGTGCTGTCTGCTTTGAGAGAAGAACTGGTTCCATGAGCCGCCCTGTTTGGCTGGAGCTCAGTGCTGACTGGTCTGTCAACACGTGGTCGTTTTGTGCGGCTCGCAACCATTGGCACCTCTGCTGCCTCAGTGTCTTCCATCTCATGGGTGTCAGCAACACTGCTCCTAGGAGCAATGACACCTTGGCTCAATGGTGTCATCAACACTTTAATATCTTGAAAACCGTTTAATATGTTTTCTGGACACCTGTTTTACAAAGAAACCAGACTAAATATAATGCAAAATACATTGCCAGGCCGGCTGAGAAACAAGCATCTGATTCTAATGCCAGCAGGCCAGGGCCAGGGCGGGTAGTTTTCCCATCAGCTCAAGGTAGAATTTGTGAGGCATGTTGGGCAGGATGTTGGCTGTGCTGTGCATCGAAGAATCTGCCAAGCAATGCAATATGCACAAGTAATACCTGCAGCTGTTTTGCTTTGTGTGCTGAATATTGAGTATTGTGGAATAAACAGCTTCTTGCAACAAACATGAGAAGCAAAGCCTACTTTGTTGTTTCCCAAGTAACGATTCAAGCTGACAATGGTGAAGTTCAGTTGTCAGACCGGCTTTGAAAATATCATCTGCTAGCAGCAAGCATTTCAAGTATGGCTTTGATATCCGAGTGTCATCATCCCTGACTCTATACCACACCTTTGCAGAATCTGGACCAGTCGTGTATGGTTTTAGAGTCTTTGTCCTTGACCTTTCTGATAGCTTGTCAAGCCATCCATTGTTCCCCAAGCTTGCCACCAGCTCAAGGGCGCTCATGCTGTCCAGAGGCACATCCCGCACAATCATAAGGAGCTTGCTTGGACTTTGCAAAGAACATGACTGGACTACCAGTGAGGCTGCCTTCTCTGCAAGAGTCCAGAACCCGTCTGCACTGCCTGGTTTGAGCAACTGATGCTTCACAAGCTCCAACTGAGCGTCACCAGGAGGTATATAGTGATCATTCTGCCTGCCAATCTCAGCAAATGCACCTGCATAGCCAACCTCCAATAAGAGCTCTCGGGCCTGCTTGGACCTCAGATAGCCAGCTCAGCACACCATTGTAAGTGCTGGTTTGTGTAAAACAATATAGACAACATAAATCAGAAACCACATATCCGAATCCAGTATTCTAGTGGCAACTGCAGAGCGCAAGCAGAACGTTCTCTGATTGTCAGCAGAAACTCTTTGTTGATCCTCCACACCATCACACCTTTCAACACATCAGAGGATACAGGTGCATCTGCTTGTCGCAGCCTTAGATTTAGATGCTCCACTCAAGTTGCACAAGCAAAGTTAAGCATACGAACCTGACTGACTGAACCCAAAAAACAACACAATATAACACAATGCTAATTTGGAGTGAAGCCACCATGAGAGGGCAAACAAACTAGCAGCCCCAGGAATTGGAGAAATTCTTGGAGAGCTTGAATCTGTTCGTCTGGCTTGAGCTTGAGTCATGGATTCGAAATCTCCCACCAGTTGGTACACTTGAGCAATGCAATCCACACTGTGCAAGTAGATGTTTCCATGAAAGAACTTCTTGGCCATGTTGTTGGATATGATTTTGAAGAAGACAGACTTGACAGCCTTTTCTTTGCCCAAACGCTGGATATGCCCGTCATCAAAATGCAAAGACCTTGATGTGGACCCTCTTCGCACTGGATTCTGTCCTCTTCAGGATTGGATAGCTATATAAAAAAGGAGCAAATATTTGGGACGGCCTATTCCTTGTCTTCCAAATGCCATAATCCCAAACTGCCCAACAACAACACAACACAGCTGATGGTCCTGAAGCAACATCCTCCAAGGGAACTGCGTACTTTTCAAACTGCTCAGCATTCATTGAGCACACCAGGCCAGGGTCACTTCCAACCTGTGCAATCTTGTTTTTGCCATGAGAAACTATTATGTTCAGTTCAGTTCAGTTGTGATTGGTTGGAATACATACCCTGTAAACATATTCACAGATCAAAACATCCCTGTAAACACAAAACACAAACAACATATCTTGCATTTCTCCCTCTGAGGAACTATGAGCAAGTGGTCCAAAATCATCTTGGTCGTTCCATCAGCAGTGATAGGATAAGCATCCAGTATTCGCCCTGGACCAGGGTTGACCTTGGTAGCTGCACTAAGTTCTGCTGCAAGTCGTTCTTTCTGAGCATGCTTGAGGGTCAGGTTGTGGCGGTAAATCAAGTTCGAGAGAGCCCTCAGATCCATGCTTCGCAAGGTCTCTGACTCTTCAAGTCCAAGGGTATTCCTGAGGAAACAATAAGCCAGCAGGCAGCAGTTGAAACACAAAACATACTTGCTGTATCATAATGGACAATAGAGTATTCAACATCAACTAGGTACAGTAAACAGTTGAAACACAAAACATACTTGCTGTATCATGATGGACAATAGAGTATTCAACATCAACAACTAGGTATACTGTATACTTAAATATATATATATAACAGTTTGCCACACGCTAGCCGTAGCCAGCCTAGCTGTCTAACTACATCATGTCTAGAATCTAGCCTAGCGGGTCTAGCCAAGTGTCAGAACAGCAGCACGGAATCCAACTAGTTTCTCAATCAAAAGCATGCGGTGAGCAGAAGTCTCCAGAATTCCAGGCTGAGCCGTGACCAGCTTGCAAAGTGCATCCCAGCGCAACTCTGTAGACAAATATGAGAGGCTTGCTGTAGGTGCTCTTTTCAGGATTCTGGAGACACGGCTATGTTGGCCTTCAATTGAGCGTTCTTGGACTTTGATGCTTGCTAGCTTGGCAACCCAGCACTTGAAGGCCTTGCTGGCACATTGCTCAGGCAGTATATATCCATTTGCCACTTGCTCGACCTTGGTTGAGGGCACCGGCACAAGTCCTTAACCATTTGACACTGTTTACTGTAGCCTTTTGACAGCCTTTATTCTTTTGGCATGCTTTTTTTAAAACCATTAACTTTGACCTGTAAGATTTCTTGACAGGTCAAGAGACATAAGGGCGTAGGGGTTCATCAAGCTGATTTCCAGGCATGCCAGAAAAATTTGGATCCAAAAACCTTTGTGTCATCACATGGGCGCAAGAAGGTCCACCATTTTCCCAGAGCTCAAGGGCTCTAATGGCTGCTTGTCTAGCCTTCAGCGGATTTGCATGGCCAAGGCCACAAAGTACGTGAGGAAGTAATCTCCAATAGCCAAATTTGCACATCAGTTCAGCCATCAATGTGGAGCGCGCTCGCTCACTATCTGCCCTCAAAGAATGTTGTTGAGATTCTGGTACGTCTGCCAAGTAACTTGCCATGTGGTGTTCAGACAGTTCGAAAGATGTCATTACCATTTCAATAGCATCACCAGAAGCAAGTTCAGGGGCGCGACAAGCTTTCCATCTACAATTCCCAATGTGAATCTTGGGAGATGTTTCCCGAGATGAGCCTATGCCTATGCCCATGGATGGTGAATGGCATGGGCAGCCTTCGACCCATCTACCCAAGAGCTCAGCTTGGTAGCCAAGTTCTCCAATCAGACGCGCTGTTGCCCAAAATGCGGGACACTGCAATATCCGCTGTATCTTCAGCTTGCCAGAAGCTGACTCAAGAGCCAGTGCCTCATCTCCATTACTGATGTCACATAGTGCAGCCCTTCCCTGACCATTCACAGCAAAGAAGGCAGCGGTTGATGAAGCCCAACATCTTCTGAGGACACCTTCTATATCCAGCATCTTAGCTGAAAGCAATGTAGTTTCATGAAGTAAGCACAAGACTGTTGTCACAAGCTACTCCCTAAACCGAAACCAGACCAAACCAACAGAGTTACAAATGACTAATTGGCCAAATGACAGCAAAAATGAAGTCAACGACTTGCTCCCATCTCAAAGACTTCAACGAAATGCGCCAATGTTTTACTGCTTCTCGAAGGTGGTTCTGGCTTTTCGGAATGCAAGAATTTGCAAAGAACTCTCTGTTCATGCGATTGCAAAGCAGCTTCTCAACTTCACGCAAGTCATTTATAAAGCCATCCCACCTGGAATGATTTCATGATTCATTGGCATTCATTCATTTCAAAGCTATCACACTCATGGGTAATTGTCACAATCAACCCAATACCCAAGTAAGCTGCAACCAGAGCACACAGTCAATCTAGACAATGCTGCATTCATAGCATTGTCGCATATGTGTTTGGGCCCCAGGATGGTGATGGAGTTCGGAAACCTTGGCTATTGCAGGTGGCTGCAGTATATAAAGCCTCCTGGGCTGCCTGGGCAAAACCTAGAATCCCAACAACTAAGCCTTGTCAGCCTTGGTTCTTGTCAAGGTGGGATGGGGCTTCCGACTTCCAACTCTGTTACTACTTAAGCAAGGACAACTTGATGTTCCCAAGTGTTTGCAGCTAAGGGCTAAGGGTAGCTGAAACACAAAGAACCCACTATCATCAACCAAGCCATCAACCCGGCCCACACACTTTCCTATTCCATCCCTTTTTCAAAGTTGATGATGAATCCAGACACAAGCAAAGCATCCACAACAGATGTGACTTGATCAAAGCCTGTCCTGTATGCAACAGCGCTATCCAAACAAGTGCCAAAATTCAAATCGGCAACCACGCTTTCATAATTCCACTAGCTAAGCTTCCAATCAATACCCCCAAAGGACTCATCCCAGCAAAACCTAAAATATAAACTCTATTTAACTATCTAATACTATAGACTATAGTCTTAATTCTTAATGTTAATGATTGTCAATGCTGTCGCATGCGCCACATGCCGCAGTGGCAGTGGCAACATGCCAATGCCATTTCATGTCATGTCATGCGGCCCGCGGCCGGCCGGGGACATCAACAACAACAGTACTAACAGTGTTGTGAGTCTAGCGCTGTCCCCGCAGTCATGTGTCTTCTTTGCCAAGAGACTGAAGACCTAGAGTTTGCCGGCCTTCACATGAATCATCGATCTCATTTGCTGCGTTGCCATTTGGGTTGGCTGATACCTGGGTTTGTTGCTTATTGAACTTGACTTGGCATTTTGTCTTGGTTCCCCAAGTCTTTAACCCAAGACTTTCCAAACATAAATGAACAGTTGTTCTGCATAGCCAAAAATCATCCACCACATTGGCACTGGCACCTGCATTGTCATGATTGTGGGCACTTGCAGGCTTCACCAGAGCTTCATCTTCTAGCACAAGGTTGCTGTGCCGGTCCGTCTTGCTGCTTTCTCTCGTGAAGGTGTCCAATAGCATGGCTTCATCTTGACGCAACGCTGAAGCATCGATTTTGGGAGCTTCTGACACCAAATGTTCAGTGCCTATCAGGGGTCCCAAGGGTAGACTGACTGTAGACTACCAAAAAGATCCAAAAAGGAGAGAACAAAGATGTACAACATGACAGTTAGCCCAGTTACAGTTAAGCAGTGACATGAGTTAGTTAGTTAGTTATGTCATTACTGTCACCGGTCGCTGGTCACTGGTCACTGCCAGCCGCCCTACAAAACCCAGTCAAACAAAAAAAATCATTTCAAAACCAGACCCTGGTCTGTCACAATGGCCACCACGCTTGAGCAATAAGACCCCAGTTGCTCAGACCCAGTTTCAGTTTGGAGAGCGTGCAGGAGCGCAGAAAGCTTGTGTGGTAGTGAGGTTGCACCTAGGATTCAGCGGCAGATTCTGCCTATCCTTGTGCCTCCCCCTGATCCTTACCCCCCCAAAAAAATGAACAAAAACAAACATGGTCTCTGGTCCTGTTGAGGTAAGAAAAGGTTGCTGTGCATGCCTGCGAGTCACCCTTTCCTAGTGTCATTGGGGGCAACACTCTGACCGCAAAATCTGTCGGGTCAGGGTCTCTCTCTAGGGATTTCATCTCTTGGTAGACATCTATGTCTCTTGGAACTTCAGTGGCATCTTTGACAGCCAAAACCTCCTCAGCTCCATCATCATATCCCTGCACTTGCCGCACCAGTCTCAACCATGCAAGCCAGTCTTCTACTAGATAGTCAGACCTTGGAAAACATTACATGTGTTTAAAGGCGCAATGTTGCTTTGGAGTAACAACAACACCAACAATGAAACATGCCCAGCTAACATCTTTGGGTAGCAACTGCTTCCTGGCAAGAAACCTAATGCTGATCTCCTGGCACAAGAACATCTCCAGCTTCATCGGCGAGGCGTCAAAACCTAGGAGAGAAGCAAGCGTCACACATCCTATCCTATCCTATCCTGCCAGTGACCCCAGCACAGCTTGAGTCCAAAGCAAAAAAACACAAGCCAAAGCTTAAATAAACTCAACATAGTAGCTTAGTTGAATTCCATAATCAATGCCATCAGACCTGCGCTTTTCCCATTGCAGCTGTCTTAGGAGGCAATGCGCCAGGTCCAGCTTTGCAGTTGACCGAGACATCGTTGCAGCGCATGGGGCTTGGCTTTCCTCTTTCATGATCGGCAAGCCAACCATAGTCTCCATGACACACTTCACGGTTTCTTGAAGTCTGGCAGCATCTCGAACATTCATACGCCTAGGTTGATTGACCAATTCTTGACATTCTTCAAAGCTCTAATGACAAATTCTAGGTGTTGGTTTCCCCAAAGAACAAAGAAAGAAGTGTTGGTAGAGCAACCGCCAGCTTCCGCTTCCAACACACAGCCAGCTAGGCTCGGCTCACACAATTCACAATCTGACCAAAGAGTACACTCGGGTTGTCAACATTGTGACATTGTCAAGTGTCTTCAACTTGACTTAAGCCCTCTTGTTTTGTAAGGACAAAATAACCTAAATATGTTTGCTTGCTCTTGTCCAACAAGTGATTCCGATTCAACAAATATGGTTTTAGGAGTTTTAGGCTGCTGGTAAGGTGGCTGGCAGAGCAGAACACCAACAATTGCTTTCAACATCCGGTCCTAGCTTAACTCCAGTCTATTGACACCGACAGTGACAGTCACTGACAGTCTACTTGCACCTTCCCAAACTACAAGAAATCAGGTTGATTGAAATGAGCATTGTATGTTGTAGCTGAGCACTGGCACTGGGCACTGGACCCCTGAACCACCAGCCGGCCATCCAGTTAGCAAGTATCAGCCCCAGGCCCAGGCTCCCCATCACCTATCCTGGAATCCTTTCAGCTGCAACCGCAGCTGCAGCTGCAGGCCACACAATCCCAAGGCCCACGGTTGCCGGCCCACAGCCCACAGCCCATTCA